TACTTCGGGATTTTCCAGAGTAATTCAGACGTTTCTGAATTTTGGATACATATTGTACTTTCATTCAATTCAATTTGGTCTTTGTGGTTGATTTGTCTAACGAATATACATTTCTTAGTATCGAATGCGATCTAAAGTTGAGTTGAGTTGAGTACTTCTAGAATTATCATCGATCCAATCTTGAGGAGACGAACAAGCATTCAAGTGGTACCTATGACATTTAGGTGCTGATATAGCACTAGCGTTGGTTGACCGACTTAAGCTGCGTTCCATAACTTTTAAGAGCAGTGCAACATCCATGTTTATTTGGAGTCTTTAAATAATCCAAAACATTTACTTAGTCTAGGCCACAAGGGTATTTTGGTCATTTTGGTGTTCAGTTTTATTCCATTCATTTCAGAGCTCCAGGATATCCAATCATTCTTGAGCTTGGTGATATTCTTGGGTCATTTCCATGCTAGGGATATTCTGGTCATTTTACAGATTCAGTGTATTACAGGTTATCAGGAACTTTCTGTATGAATACAGGATCTTAACAAATAAATCTGTAATTTATCGAGTTAAGTACGAATCCTCAAAGTACTTTCTCATTCATGGTCAACTCATACTATTTTTACCTCTCAAGGGCATTTTCATAATTTCTTAACTTGATAACTTCGGTATTAACTCTTAACAAAATTAATATAATTTAGAGATCCTATGGTTAATTGTTTTCCCAAACATTCTCTAATCCTGAAATGATCTCCTTAACAGACTTCTAGCATATTGCACAAACCATCTTGGGGTTGAAACCCAGTTATCCAAATTTTCTAAGCAAAACTAGCATTTCTTATACATATTTGTAGTTTTATCAGATCAACAAGTCTTTTCATAGTATTAATCAACTTCCAGGGACAATTCTTATCATTTTACAACATAGGGGTATTTTCATAATTTTACCTAATCGAAATATTCTCATAATTTATCATCCAAGTACCTTTAATGAGATAAATTATAATCTACATAATCATGGTTTATTCCTTTATCACTTAATTCCAGAACTTGTAATTTAATTCCAACTGTCCTCCAATTCTTATAATAGTCATCTGAGCCACATTCAGTTACATACTTTCTAAAACATTTGTATCAATTGTAAAACTCCATTAATTACATATATGAGACCAAACATTTTCATTCATGCATTTACCAATATCAACATGTTATATAAAGCATAAAGAGATAGTAATGTATTATCTCGATTTCCGTGCCATACTGATCGATCATTAAATTCCATTCGAACGCCCCCAATCTTGAAATCATCTTCCAATAATTCCTCAGATGCATATCAACAGAAAGTACATCAAAACGGAGCTTAATTCTGAAAAATGGATCGAATCGGGTGATAAATCAGTCAAAACAACTTACCGGATTCGAATTTGGCGAAACAGACTCCAAAAACGGATTCAGAATGTCGAAAAACATAAAATATGACTTTTTAAAAATTTTGACTTTTCGGTCAAAGTCAAAATTGGAAAATTCGAGGCATTCGGGTCCGAATTTCAAAAAAACGAACTGCGGAATCGGACTCAAAACGTTGAAAAACGTCATGATAGGTGTACTCTGAAAAAGTCAACGATCGTTCTACGCTGGTCAAAATTCTGGCCAACTGTGGTCAACGCCGGTCAACAGTCAATAGTTTTACACAAATAGCATCCTAACAGAAATTAATTACAAAATTAACCACCTTCTAAAAATATTTACAAAACTAACACCCGAGTTTTACAAAAATATCACTCTAACAGAAATTAATTACAAAATTACCACCCCTACGCGCAATGGCGGCACGTACGGCGCGTGAACAGTGATACAGTTTAGGAAAATTCCCTGAAAAATTCCTAAAAATTATATTAAGGCATTTTGAGACACTTACCAAGCTCGATTTACAATTTTGAACGGCGGAGAGCTCGATTCTGAAACATCGAAAACTTTGACTTTCTCACCCCTCCACACGCCGGCGACGACGGAGAAACGGAGGACACCGGCAGACTCAAAACGATGCAAGGAACACAATGGTGCGGGAGGTGTAAAAAACGGATGGTCGGATCGACGTGAATCGACAGAAAACCAACGGAAATTGAGTTAAAACCGACGATACTTCGAGCTGAAATTAACGACGAACGACGACGATTCACGACGAAAGGTTTGAGGGGTTTTATTCATCGATCGATAACGAACACGATGGTAGTTTCGGTTTATCGATCGGAGGTCGGACGGTGAGTAGATCGGAGTTGAAATGAGGGTTAAAAGGAAAGGTGAACTGGAAAAAAAATCTGGAAATTGCGCACGGGAAGAGGTTTATATTTTCTCATAAAGAAATATGGTTAAACGATGAGTTTAGCCACTGAATTTCCTGCACTTTATAAAACAGTCTGCTAACTTTGAAATTTTACAATTTAATTCACTATTTCTTTCAAAATATCAATTAAATCCGATATTTAATCATTTCTAAAATTTAGCCCCTAAATTGGGGTGTTACAAATGGATAGTAACATTTGATTATTAGAGATGGAATGGTGTGGTAACACATCGAAGAAACTTAGTTACGGCAGCAACATAAAGATGAGTTGGCACTAGCTTAATCAACCCTTATCAATTACGTAAAAAGGTTGCAAAATATAAGCTAAAAATGAATTACAACAAAATAGGCGGTTAATCTTAGTAAAATTTGTAAATTAGTTTCAATTAATGTTGTGTTCTTGTTACATTAACGTGCTTTTGTATTAGTTGAGTTATAAAGTTTATCGAGTATCCATTCATACTTTCAATTAATTGCACTTATTAATGAATGAGCCCGACTTCTAACTACGAAATAGAGACTATAGAGCACGAGTCTTTCTTCTAATAGAGACAATACAAAATTCAGTATGGTTAGAACCTAAACAAAAGAAATGTCAACTTTATTCAGTATTAAGTTCTATGACTCACAAAATATATTATATGATGACAATTATTCATTATCGATATTAATAATTTAACCCTACTTAGCGGTTCATTCAGTCCTTTACTCCAACTTGATTATCAAAATTGTTGTTGGGATAAACTAAGTCGTTGAACTACTCCGACGTCAAAGAGGCACCTTCACAAAGATTAGAAACAATTAAATCAATCTAAATATTGAGTAAAATTGGTTAAAAATTCAAAGTCAATCGATTAAAATCAATAAATCAAAGTTAACGGATTAAAATTAATGATTAAAAATTCATACTTGGCACATTTAGTGTTCAATCTCAAGACTTCAAAAAAAATAACAAAATTTTTAATTATTAAATCCACTTGATTTATATGCCAACATATCGAGTATTTGTACGTATCAAGCTTTCAAGCCACTTTTTCATGCAGCTTACTTTCTAGGGTTACCCTAACAAGAGCATACTCCATAGGCTAAAGGTCGTAAAGGGATAAGTCTATTTTTGGTCAGCGTGTCCCTAACAAAATCAAAATGGTTACTCTCGTAATTAAGCAAAGCACGTTACTTTAATTAGAAAAGTGATTATCCTTGATGTATTTTAGTCTTTTGATTCTTTTTCACATGTACCTTACTTGTTAAAATATTAATAATGTGTTCAAATATTAATAGCATGTTAAAATAAATTTATATATCTATATAATAAATAGTTAAAATTGTAGATGGAAAATTGAATTGTAAAATCATAATATTAAACTCTTGTTTATTATCTAAGTACAGTCCTATCTATAGCTTTGTTATATTCACTCATAATATTTATTTTCGAATTTCACTATGAATTTACAAAATTGTTTATTGTTTTTCTTCTCAAGAGATTCTTTACTTGTTTTAATTGCCAAGTTTCTTTCTTCTCAATGAATTCTTTACTTCGTTTGAACAACCAACTTTGTCCTTTTTAATACGCAAGACATGGGATTTTTTTCTCTCCTTTAAACTGCCTTTTTAAGACATTGTTGTTCATTGTGAACATTGAGTTGTCATTCACTACTATCTCATAGTATTCATTACTCACCAAAACAGAAATGGAGATGAAAAATGAGAGAGATTAAGCATAAGTTCCATAAGCATCCCTTGGTGTTAGTGGAAGAGCAAAGCAATGAAGTTGATCCCAAAGCTTACTGCTCTGCATGCATGGAGGTGCTTTCAGGTCCCTACTTTACTTGTTCATTCGTCAATTATCACCTTCATCAGAAATGTGTCGAGGCACCCTTTCAATTTCCAAACACCTTCTCCATCCCAAGCACTCAAGTTTTTTTCTTCGACAAAGGCCCCATCCCAATTCTAAAAGAGTATATGTGGTTGTGCATTATGCAAGGAAAAACGTAACATGTTCTTTTATGAATGTAATAATTGCTACTTTTCCCTTGACACCGAATGTGCTATTTTATCTTCTTCGTATAGCAAGGCAATCCAAGAGTCCAAACATGACCTCCACCAACATCCATTGACCTTCATTGAAAGCCCCATGGATGGACACAAAAGATCATATTGCTCTTGTTGTCATCAACCATTTCTTGATGCATTATACATTTGTGTTGATTGTCCTCTTATCTTTCATAAGAAATGCCTTGATCAGTCCAAAAAACTTATACACCCTTCCCATCTCATAGACCCTCTTTTTCTTGAGTCTGAAGAGAAATTTCTCTTTTGCAAACCATGCCAGAAGGAACATGATGGATATTTTTATTCTTGTTCTCTTTGTCATTTCAACATTCATATCGATTGTGCTTGGCCGAGGTCTGTCGTTGAAGATAAAAGTTCCCACCGGCACGCATTAAGCTTATTTTGGAGACAAGGTTCATTCATTTGTGATGCATGTGGCACTGAGGGGAATTCTCTTTCATATATATGTCTCACATGCAACATGGTCCATAAAGACTGCACAAAACTCCCATGTATTATCAAATTTTCACGACATGCTCACTGCCTTTTTCACAAATATTCACTTGTAACACAAGAGCTTGCAAGGCAGGATTGCAAGATCTGTTTCGAAGAAATGAAACTAGAGCGTGGGAGTTACTCTTGCGACAAGGCAGGTTGCAATTACGTTGTCCATGTGAATTGTGCCTTAGAGCATTCAAATCTATACGACGTAATTGGGGAAGAATGGTAATGTGAGGAGCTTGATGCAGCTACGCAATCTTCCATCACTCATGTTATTGAGGAGAATGAAAATGGGGAAGCCACGAAGATTGAACATTTCCTCCATGAAGGTCATTGCTTGGTGTTAGCAGACAAGATGGAGGAGGAAACTGGCAGAAAATGTGATGGGTGCATGCCGCCTGTCTCAACTCTGCAGGTCTATTATTGTTTGGAATCAGATTGCCATTTTTGTCTTCACAAAAATTGTGCCAAGTTGCCAAAAATCAACATACTTTGGTTTCGTCAATCTAATGCTACTCTTCAATCCAAAAGCCTTCGATGTGACCTGTGAAGACGAAATTGTAGTGGTTTCTTCTACAGAGTTGGAGAATACTACGATGTTTACATAAGGTGTGCTAAAGTTGGTGATATCATTGAAGGTCAAGCACATTTGAAAAACAAGAGCTTACAAGGCAGGATTGCAAGATTTGCTTTGAAGAAGTAGAGCGTGGTAGTTACTCTTGTGTGAAGGCAGGTTGCAATTACGTTGTCCATGTGAAGTGTGCCTTAGCGGATAAAGATCTGTATGACGTAATTGAGGAAGAATGCCAATGTCAGAAGCTTAATGCAGCTACACAGTCTTCCATCACTCATGTTATTGGAGTGAATGAAGATGGAGAAGCCACAAAGATCGAGCATTTGAGCCATGAAGGTCATTGCTTGGTGTTAGCAGACAAGATGGAGGAGGAAACTGATAGACAATGCGATGGGTGTATGCTGCCTGTCTCAACTCTGCTCTATTACTGTTCGGATTCAGATTGCCATTTTTGCCTTCACAAGACTTGTGCTGAGTTGCCAAGTGTTGGGAAATAAACCAAGTAACAAGTAATTTCCCTATAGTCAGATTAGTGAGAATACGAAATAAAAGCGGAAAAATAATACCCGAAATTGATAACGGAGTTCAGCCAATTGTGCTTACGTCTCCAGACTGCTGCAGATCTTTTACTAAGAGAGAAAATTTACAGGTGTTTACAAAACACTCACTACTCACAAGAAAGCTCTCTAGTATTGGGAGAAAGAAATGATTTTTGGGATAGTTTTGAAGCTAAATGAGCTAGGGTATTTATAGTTGAAACTTAAGGACTTAATCTTGTAAATACCCTAAAACCTAGGGATTAATTGTGATTATCCCATTATCATTTTTCAACAAACATCTACCAAACTTTGAAAAACTATTTTTCAAAGAAACATTTACCAAACTTTGAAAACCATTTTCAAAGAAACATTTACCAAACTTTGAAAACCATTTTTTCAAAGTTGGTTACCAAACTTGAAAACCATTTTAATACTTTCAACAATCTCCCACTTGAAGACTGATTTTAATCTGTCTTCACACCTCGATCAATGCAACAGCTTTTCTAGTCTTGTTACTCTAGCATGCCAACTGAAGTTGAACACAACTTCAGTTTGTCTGTAGTCACCGTCTTTGTCAACATATCTGCCGGATTTTGAGCTCCACTGATCTTTTCAAGTTTCAAAATCCCATCTTCCAGAAGAGACCGGATAAAATGATATCGCAATTGTATGTGCTTTGTCCTGGAATGAAAAGACGGATTCTTTGCTAGATGTATAGCACTTTGACTGTCGCAATACAAGACATTGTTTTCTTGTTTCTTGCCTAACTCTTCCAATAAACTTTGGAGCCAAACCATCTCCTTACTGGCTTCCGTAACAGCGACATATTCTGCTTCAGTTGTGGAGAGAGCAACTATCTTCTGTAGTTGAGAAACTCAACTCACTGCGGTTCCTCCTAGAGTATAGACATACCCTGTAGTGCTCCTTCTGATGTCAACATTTCCGGCTAAGTCAGCATCTACATAGCCTGTCAGTATCGTATCTCCACCTTTGAAACAAAGTGTTTTGTTTGTGGTACCCCGCAGATATCTGAGGATCCATTTGACTGCTTCCCAGTGTACCTTGCCCGGATTATTCATGTGCCTGCTAACAGCTCCCACTGCTTGAGCAATATCTGGTCTGGTATAAACCATGTCATACATCAGACTTCCAATTGCTGAGGCATACGGCACCTTCACCATGTGTGCACGTTCTTCCTCCGTCTTTGGTGACTGTTCTTTGGAGAGTCTGAAATGAACACCTAAAGGTGTACTTACTGGTTTAGCATCTTGCATGTTGAACCTGGAGAGTACTTTGTTGATGTACTCAGCCTGTGATAATATCAAAGTCCCCGAATTTGTGTCTCTCTTGATCCTCATCCCAAGAATCTGCTTTGCAGCGCCCAGATCCTTCATAGCAAACTGCTTTGACAATTTTTGCTTCAAGTTTATAATCTCTTGCATGTCTGAGCCTGCAACGAGCATGTCATCAACGTACAACAATAAAATAATGAAGCTATTATCGAACCTCTTGATGTAGCAACAATGATCTGCTTGGCATCTGGTAAAACCACTGCTACTCATGAAACTATCGAACTTCTTGTACCACTGTCTAGGAGCTTGTTTTAAACCATACAAGCTCTTCTTCAACCTGTATACCAGGTTTTTCTTGCCTACCTCTATGAAGCCTTTTGGCTGCCTTATATAGATTTCTTCCTCCAAATCACCATGAAGGAAAGCTGTCTTTACATCTAACTGCTCAAGATGTAAATTCTCTGTAGCTACAATTTTCAACACCAGTCTGATTGTAGATAGCTTCACGACTAGAGAGAAAATTTCATTGTAATCAATACCTTCTTTTTGTTGAAAACCTTTGACAACCAATCTTGCTTTATAGCGTTTGCTCCCATCGTGCTCTTCTTTGATCCTGTAAATCCACTTGTTATGGAGCGCTTTCTTGCCTGGTGGTAATTCAGCTAATTCTCATGTCTGATTTGACATAAGCGAGTCCATCTCATCTTTCATGGAAGACTCCCACTTGACTGAATCCTCCACTTGCATTGCTTCATCATAGTACTCTGGTTCACCATTGTCAGTCAGCAACAAGTAGTGCAAAGAAGGAGAATACCGTTGGGTTGGTTTAGGAATTCTGGAGGAGCGTCTCAGTTCTGGTGTGCCTGGTTCTTCCTCTTGAACTGCTTCAGGATTGATCTGAACATCATTTCCAGAAATCTCCTCGAACTCAGCAAATTCCTTTGTTTCAGCTTCAGTATTACTTGATTCTACGGTTGACCTGTCTTTGTACATCACATTTTCATTGAAAATGACGTCTCTGCTTCTAATGATCTTCCGATTTTCGTAGTCCCAAAACCGGTAACCAAACTCATCACCACCGTAACCAACAAATACGCATTTGTTGGACTTGGCATCAAGTTTACTTCTTTCAGCAGAGTTTATGTGTACATAAGAAATACAACCAAACACTCTTAAGTGTGAAAGGTTTATTTCTTTCTTGCTCCAAGCTTCCTCTGGTATTCCGCCATCCAAAGGAACTGAAGGCCCACGGTTGATCAGGTAAGCTGCAGTGTTGATAGCTTCAGCCCATAGAAATTTGGGCAATCCGGCATGTATGCTCATGCTTCTGGCACGTTCATTCAGAGTTCTGTTCATGCGCTCTGCTACGCCATTCTGCTGCGGTGTTAGGGGAACTGTTGTCTCCATCTTGATCCCATTGTTTGCGCAGAAATCTCTGAATCTACTATCTCTGTACTCTCCTCAATTGTCAGACCTCAACCGCTTGACTTTTAAACCAGTCTCATTTTCCACCATGACCTTCCATTTTCTGAAGGTATCGAAGACTTCTGATTTCTTCTTCAGAAAATAAACCCACACCTTCCTTGTTGAATCATCGATGAAGGTGACATAATATAGTGAGCCTGCAAGAGATGGAACTGGGGATGGTCCCCATACATCAGTATGAACCAATTCTAACCTTTCTGCCTTGGGTGTCTTGCCAATCTTTGCAAAACTGACTTTTTTTTGTTTTTCAAAGATGCAATTCTCGCATAGTCCGACATCTACATTCTTTAGATCCGGCAGCTTCCCTTTTGACAGAAGTATCTTCATTCCTTTCTCGCTCATATGGCCAAGCCTTTGGTGCCATAGGTTTGATTTTCCATCAACATCTGCTACTGCAATGATATTCTCTAAATTTGAGGTTCCATAGAGAGTATCAGTCTTCTTACCACGAGCAATGACGAGTGCTCCTTTGGTAATCTTCCATTCACAACCTGAAAAGGTTGTACTGTATCCTTCTCCATCAAGCTGTCCTACAGAAATCAAATATCTTTTGAGACCAGGAATATGTCTCACTCCTGTCAGCTTCCAGGTGGTCTGGTTTGGAAGCTTTAGTCGGATGTCTCCTTTTCCGACGATCTTCAAGGTTTCATCATCAGCAAGATGAACCTTCCCAAAATCACCACTGATATAGTTCTCCATGATTTCTTGGCATGGCGTGGAGTGGAAAGATGCCCCTGAATCTAAAATCCATGATTCAATCGGACTGTTGACGCTTAAAATCATAGCATCACCTGTCTCCTCCGTCATGTTGGCAGATTCCTGTGCGCCGGTATTTTTCTTCGGTGCTCGGCAATCTCTTTTGAAGTGGCCCTTCTTGCCGCAATTATAACAGGTAAAATTTTTATTTCCTGTTCTTGATTTTCCCCTTCTGGATTTCGATCTGCCACGATTTGAATTTCTTTCTGAAGTTCTCCCTCTGGACTCCGTGTGCAAGGCTGAGGAGGTTGATGCTTCACCCGATTCTCTCCGTCGAATTTCTTCGCTCAGTACCAGATCTCGAACATCGTCGAATTTTAATTTGTTGTTTCCCGACGAACTGCTGACTGCTGTAACAGTAGCATTCCAACTGTCTGGTAAAGATGATAAGAGAATTAAAGCTCGAACTTCATCATCAAATTCAATTTCCACTGAACTCAACTGGGTTGTGATTGTGTTGAGTTCATTTAGGTGTTGTGCCACCGATGCCCCTTCCGTCATCCGCAAATTAAATAATCGCCTCATCAAATGAACTTTGTTTGAGGCCGATGGCTTCTCATACATACTGGAGAGAGCCGTCATAAGACCCGCCGTGGTCTTTTCCTTTGCTATGTTGAAAGCAACATTGCGAGATAACGTCATTCGGATAACTCCGAGGGCTTGTCTGTCGAGAAGAGCCCAGTCTTCATTCTTCATGCCCTCTGGTTGTTTTCCTGAGAGGGGTTGATATAGATTTTTCTGGTATAGAAAATCTTCAATTTGCATCTTCCAAAATCCAAAGTCCGCACCATCGAACTTTTCAATTTTCACCTTTCCTTCGTCTGCAGCCATCGCTCCCACTCGAATCTGGCTTCGTTTGGATCGTTTCTGACAATTTTTGCGAACCGCCGTGTATTAGAACACATTCGTCGTCAAACTCGTATCGCCGACCGAATTTCACTATTCACAAAATTCACTATTCACGTGAATAGTAACCCGAATAGTAACTTCGCAAAAAATTGACAAAATTCACAACCCAAAAGCTCTGATACCAGTTGTTGAGAAATAAACCAAGTAACAAGTAATTTCCCTATAGTCATATTAGTGAGAATACGAAATAAAAGCGGAAAAATAATACCCGAAATTGATAACGGAGTTCAGCCAATTGTGCTTACGTCTCCGGACTGCTGCAGATCTTTTACTAAGAGAGAAAATTTACAGGTGTTTACAAAACACTCACTACTCACAAGAAAGCTCTCTAGTATTGAGAGAAAGAAATGATTTTTGGGATAGTTTTGAAGCTAAATGAGCTAGGGTATTTATAGTTGAAACTTAAGGACTTAATCTTGTAAATACCCTAAAACCTAGGGATTAATTGTGATTATCCCATTATCATTTTTCAACAAACATCTACCAAACTTTGAAAAACTAATTTTCAAAGAAACATTTACCAAACTTTGAAAACCATTTTCAAAGAAACATTTACCAAACTTTGAAAACCATTTTTTCAAAGTTGGTTACAAAACTTGAAAACCATTTTAATACTTTCAACACCAAGAATCAAGCCTCATTGGCTCCATCGATCCAATGCCGTCCTCAAATCCGAAAGCATCTTGCAATGTAACTTATGCTTACGATTTTACAGTGGTTTCTTCTACGAAATTGGAGCATCTATGGTTTGCTTAAGGTGTGCCAAAGTTCCTGATATCATTGAATATCAAGGACACCAACACTTGCTCTTTTTTGACTTCAAATGCAAGAAGCAACAATGTATTGGTTGTGGCAGCCACTGGCATAACAATGGTGCATTCAGAGGTGGAAAGTGCAGTTTTGTTTTGGATTATCGATGCATAATGTTACCGCATTCATCTCTTCACAAATTTGATCAACACATACTATACCTTACTTATCATGATGATAATGATCACGTAGAGCATGATTATTGTGATATTTATGAAGGAAAAAGAGATTCAAACCTCTGGTATTACCATTTTTCAATTGATAATTCGACTCATCCCCAATGTGTTCTTGGACAACTTTCATTTGTCAGGGACGGGCCACATGGCCCTATTATCAGCAACATTATCATAATGTTAAGGTTTTTAGGAAGGCTACGGGTAACCCTAAATGTTCTCATTGTGATAAGCTTTGCCAAGAAGATGGTCTCGAGTGTGCAGAGTCTACATGTAACTATATTGTCCGTTACCTATGTCGGTGACAATCTCAAATCTAAAGCTTTCCGGTGAGTTCTTTGAATAATTAATGATCTATTATTGTCCTTAATCATCATTGCTGTTGATTTCTATTATTGTTAAGATTTAACGAAAGTGAAAAGTCTTAATCTCAAAATCTAGTTGTATATTTAATTAAGTGTTGTATTTATATTTTAATGCAAGTGCATGAATCTATACATATGCAGCTTATGACAAAGACAGAGAAGCAACTTGTGCAGCTAATTGCTAGTAAAAAAAAAGGTTTATGTCATTCAAGTTCATAAAGTCAACCGCAGTTTTTTTTTCTTATATATGTTCAAGGAAAGTAGTATATGAACATGTTCCATTGATCATTTCTAAGAAACAGAAAAAAAATGGCATTCAATACATCCATTGATTTCAACAGAACCAAAGAGTTGAAAGAGTTCGACGACACAAAAGCCGGTGTGAAAGGACTGGTTGATGCCGGAGTACTTAACATCCCCGAGATTTTCGTTCGACCAGCCGAGGAGCTTGCCGCCAACAAATCGAATTCCTGCCAGAAAAACAACGTCGAAGTCCCGATCATAGACTTAAGCAACATCAGAGACAAAAACCGGCGTAAGGAGATCGTAAACGAGGTGAGGGTTGCATCAGAGGAATGGGGTTTTTTCCAAGTGATAAACCATGAGATCCCCTTAAGTGTCTTGGATGAAATGATTGAAGGTATACGTTTCTTTAACGAGCAGGATTCAGAGCTGAAGAAAGAAATGTATAGCCGTGACAGTGCGAAGAAAGTGAAGTTCAACTCTAACTTTGATCTTTTCACTTCCAAAACGGCTGATTGGAGGGACACTTTGAGCCTTTCTTTCCTTGATTCTGATCCCGACCCTTCAGATTTGCCTCCAGTCTGCAGGTAAATAAGTACTAAATCTCATTTTTGTTGCTCGTCGGAACTGTCCTTAAACTCAGAACGAATCTGGGCTTCGTTTGTTTAAAATTGCAGACTATCAACAATAGAGTACATTAAGCATACGAAAAGATTGGGAGAAACTTTGTTCGAGTTGTTATCGGAGGCTCTTGGTCTTCGACCGGACCGCCTTAACTCGATCGGATGCTGTAAAGGGAGTATCCTACACTCCCACTACTATCCACCTTGCCCTCAGCCTCAACTGACATTAGGAATAAGCAAACATACAGATCCAGGCATATTGACCCTGCTTTTTCAGAACCATATCAGTGGCCTCCAAGTCTTTCATGAGGGCCAATGGTTCGATGTCCGCCCCACTCAAGGTGGCTTGGTCGTAAACATCGGTGATCTTCTGCAGGTCAGCTTAGAATCAGATAGGCTTTTCGTTCGACTTTTCAAACAGCATCTGACTTCTTATATTACCATGGTAGGTTTTATCCAATGAAAAGTTCAAGAGTGTGAAGCATAGGGCAATTGCCAATCATGTCGGACCAAGAATTACAGTGCCATGCTTTTTTTGGGGACATGCTACCCTGCTTGTGAAGCTAATCGGGCCGATCGAAGAGCTGATATCGGAGACGAATCGTCCTCGATACAAAGAATTCTTGCTAAAGGATTATGTTGCCAAGTTTCTATCTAGCTCTCTTGATAACAAGCCTCCTATAGATTACTACAAGCTCTCTTGATGACAGATAGTCTTTTGTAACACCAAACTGAATAAAACAGTGTCCTGTGTTTCAATTTGTAATAATATCTACAAGCAAAGTGATCCATGATGGGTTTTCAGATATAACATAATGGCTTCCAGCATTTTATAGAAATAAGTATTTTATATTTTAAAACAGTGAAATCAATTTAAAATATTATACACAAAATATTAATTATTCTTTATTTACTTGAAAATCATTTTTTTATGAAAAAAAATCAAACTTTATTGGATAATATTTAAAATTCATAAAATAAAATAATTTTTATCAAAACAAAATATAAATTCTTGACACTCGAAATTAATAGGAAATTTTGAAAAATCGGAATTAATCAAATAAAAAATCAAGAAACTATTAAAAAGAAATTAAAATTTTGAATCAAACTAAACTTATATACACTCGTATGAAAACATAATATCATATATGAATCCTACCAATTTAATTTATTTACTCGGAACAAAATAACCTTTTCCCTTCGATCCTAAACTTATAATTGACATCTATCTATATTTATATAATATCATCCTCCTATAATTGTCTTTAACATAATTTGTTTATTTTTATTCCTGTCTAAATATATATATATATACACACACAAGTGTATATATTTGAACGTATTCTTCCATTTATTGGAAGTTTTCTCCATCAAAACAACCCTTGTTTTTCTTTCTCGATTCTTCACTTTTCCATAGGTGCTGGAAAGTTGAATCATAAGCCTGGAAAACTATGCAACAGACCAAAGGTTCCTGGCAAGATTTCCCAGATGAATCAAATGAAGAAACGCTTTCTCTTTGTGATATTGTGATGAACAATGACAATTCAAATGAGTTATGGAACGACGATGATTTCTTAAAGCAAGAGGAAACCGGCGATTTGTTTGAGTTCTTCAGTGAAGATTTTCCTGCTTCAGCCTCAAATTTCCCGGAAAACAACCACGAAAACGACAGAATCATTTTTTGTGGTAAATTCATTTCTTACAAAGAAAATGAAAATCAACCCAACGTTGGAAGCAAATCGAAGAGACGAAAATACAAAATGGAGCAAGAAAACGATGAGAAAATGAATGATTTCAGCTGTAGAAATGCCAGAAAGTGCTGTTTCTTTCCCTGGAAAATTTCATCGCCGCCTTCATTATTCAACAAGTCAAGAACATTTCCTTCATCAAAATCATCGAAAGAATCACAAACGCAGTGTTTCAACAAGTCATTTTCAAAGCCGGCTTCCGTTTCCAAAATCGATTTTCCGGTCAGGAAAGTATCGACTTTGGCAACTCCGGTTAAATCAAGGTGGTATTTGTTTGCATTTGGAGTTGGAAGGTTCCCAATGGAGATTGAGCTCAAGGACATGAAGATGAGACAGAGCAGGAAATATAGGGCAATGAAGTTTCCAGCACCGGACGGCAGCGGCCCATCCGGAAATGTCAAAGGTGAAAACGGGAGAAGACCAGGCAAGACCTGGAGGTTGCTTAATGTTCTAGGGTGTAAACGACCATGTTATGATCATTAATTTTCGATTTCAATTTCTTGATTAATTTTCGACTTAATTCATCTTAACAACAGTCATTCTATTTCACCCACATGACCGATTGAAAATAGAGACAGAGTGCGATCGTACTCTTAAATTTTATAATGTATTCAAATTGTTCTATTTCTTGACACTTACAATCATAGAGGGTTACTGGGCTTCTCTCTTCTTATTTAATTCATGTTTTTTCTCAATAAATTTACGTCATCTTTCTCTTTTCTCTTTTATTTTTGTTTAACCAACCACGATATTAATTTTTTATATTATTTATTTGTTTTTTTGGAACTTTTAATTTTAAATAAAAATTTATATCATTGTCACATATTTTTTTCTGTTTCTGTGATGTATAATTTTTTATTTATTTCGGTAATATAATCCTTATGGTTTTTAATATGATTTTCGCATACATTTACAGTCGTATTGATGTTTAGCCTTTAAAATTAACCATACCAACATATTTTATAAATTCTTTTCGAATTATCAAGTTGAGTTTAGCCTTTAAAATTTTTCGGTTGGTCCAAATTTAAGGTTTAAGACCATAGATAACTATTTAAATGGTAGAGAAATTAATAAGTATTAATTTATATGATTATTTTATAATATAGTCTAGAATTTTGTTTTTTTAACTCTTACCTCACCAAAGGATGGGCATGAGTCTTGAATTCAACGAAATTTTAGTTTGATTCAATTTCATAGTGTGACTTTTCTAAAATGTTTAGATTCAAGTTAGGTCAAGTTAATATGAATTTAAGATGAAAAAACGTAACTTGGCTTAAGATAATGATATAATAATCCCTTGATATTTAAAGATAATTGTAACAATAATCTTTTTCTATATTTTTAAATAAAGTCTATTTTATCAATAACAAAAATTAATAATTATATAGACACATCTAATAAAATCGAGTAAAATATAAATTTTTAACTTAAAAATTAAAATCAGAAGAATCTATCTTAAACTTAATCAATTAACAAATAAAATCATATAATATTCAAATTAACTCGAATGAACCAAAAATTCAACTCATCCCAGCCTATACACATCACTAATCCCACCTCCCCACAAGCGTCATGCAACCTACTACTAATGTTCTACAACTTAATTCTCTAATTAGAAAAACCGCCTATAATCAAAGAGGGGAAAAAGTGTCAACGTTAATTTTCAAATCGTACTTTGAGTGCTCAACATGTCATTTGCTTAAGCAACTGAAAATAGATATTCAGAAAGGAGATGTCAATGATGAAACAAGCAAGGCAATCTCCTACTTCAACACCAGTGTATCAAATACGATTAAACTTTGATTTTTTAGAAGGCTTAAATGCATCATTGTCTCCTAAAGTATATTATTTGTATCGAATTGCACCCTAAAATATTTTTAGGGACGTTTTGTCCCGTAAAATTTAAATCGTTAGTTCGTTATTCTATTTGTCCCAAATCGTTAACTCCAATTAAAAAAATCTTACTGGCCAATCAAAATATACCACATCACCTCTTAATATTTATTTTTCATATCTAAATAAATAAAAATTAATTCAAAAAACCAAAAGAAATAATATCCCTTGAATATCTGTCTTTTCTCCCTTCACCGCCAAACCCTCTCTTTCCTTAAGCATCCCTCTTTTTTCTTCTTTACTCCGTAACCCAATCTCTACCCAGCCATGATATATTCATTTTATATATATTTTTTTAAATTCAATCAAAGGCAGGAACGTCTCAAGTATACGTATTATATTGAAACCTAATGTAAAATCCATGAATCCACTTTTGGTTTAATGATTACTCCTATATTATTTTTTGAATTCGTTCCTTTGTTTAATTGTGAGAAATATATGATTGAATCAGGAGCTATTTTGAATCTGTTACAGAGTGACTGAGGGAGAGATTGAGTTACAGAGTGAAGAAAGAAGAAGAGGATGGAATCGTTTATTTCATATTAAGCTTTATAAAAATATACTAAGAGGATGATCATTCCATTTAACTTACTGCATTCATATATATCATTGCTTTTTATTGACTTTGATGAATTATATTTTGATACGGTTCAACAAAAAAATCAGACTGGCTAATTTAATAAAAAGAATGTATAGATATTCAGTTCATTATATATCATTTGGCTATGATAAAAAAATAAATAATTACAATAAAACTGAGAATATGTGAAGTATCGAGAGTAAATTAGTGTTTTAAAACTTTGAACTAATTTGATAAAATTATAGAAGAATATTTTTCATTAGTTTTCAACAAGGGTGAATTACATAAAATTGTCACTAATATTTAAATTGTTATTGATAGTGATAAAAAGTTGATATAATACGTTAATCGCTGATCTAGCACCATTTCTTTTAGCTCCTCAAAACCCAGCATTTATCTTTTTTAATCTTCCCTCTTCAAGCCACGCTCCAGTTGAGGGTCAGTCACTAGGTCATCCATATAAAACTGAGAGTTAACTCATCATATAAAACGGAAGCTTGAGAACAGAACTTGGGGGAGAATCTTTTTCACTAAATGATTTTGAAGTAATGGTTTACTTCCAAAGCTATTGTATTAAAAAAAATTTTGACAATAAAAATGTTATATTTTAACTCAAATTATAATTGGTAATTAAATTGAATTTTATTATAATTATTTTAGGTAAGAATTTTTATGGATTAAGAATTCTTGGTGATCAAGTATTTGACTTTATAAATAGTGATAATGTTATAATATAATTAGAAATAGAGAATTATTTTGGAGAGATATAATATTTCTGGGATCTCTATAACTTTCAGTATGTTAAGAGATAATTTGTAGGTATTGACAGAGTTTTTGGGATATACCGGATTTTTGTATCTATACCGGATTTTGATATCTATAACGAAAATATTAGCTTTTTCATAATATTTTTTGTTCAACAAAAAATATTAAAATATTAAAAAATAAAAAAAATAATATTTTATGTTATATCCGACATAAAAATAATATAATTTTAATAATATTTTTAGTTACATCTATTCTCAATCATTTATTAGTCTTAAATTAGATTGTGTCACCTCGCTAAACAACAAATTTTTCCCCATATCTGTTATCTAGTCCATGGCCCATTTTATACCAAAAAAGATAGAATATAATTTAATTATATATTTATTATTAAATTATATTATAAAATTATATTAATCTCGTTGATATATTCTTCTAGATTCAGTTTAAATTTATATAATTATTATTATATCTTTAAATTAAAATACATATGAATTCTGTTAAATAATTTTTTTTATTTTTATATTGACTTATCCAATAAAAATTTCTGAATTTATCCCTAGAAACAGTCTCGATCACCTAAGAAATAGTTTCGTCCCTGCTCATGACCTGTGAAGTCCTTATTTATTATTATTTTTAAAAATAAATAACATATTAAATTGATCAAGCGAATTAAATGACATCAATAGTAAAAAAATTATTATAAAAATTATTATTCATTCATTGTATAATAAATAATAATAAAATTATTATTATTCTTTATACTTACTATAAATTAATTAATAGAGTTTTTTTACTCGGAAAACTTCGATCATAATTTTTTTTTGTGTGAAATAAATTCGGAAATTATGGCCTAATCATTCACCAGTTATTAAGTAATTTATCAAGGATTAATAAAAGTGGTCATTTATAGAAATAGACTTCTTAAAAGTGCTCAACATTTTTCATAACGCAAGTTATCCATCAAAAGTATATTAAGATTCTCAAAAAGTCCTACCAAACACGGATTGTAAACAAGTCCTACCAACCACTTCAGCTTAATTCGATTCGCTGCGTCTCGGAGAAGCATCTTCATCATCGTAAATAGGGCTTCGGTCGTCTTTAGGTGGCGGACTAGGGCTGCGGCTGTGGCCGTTTTCCTTTGTGGAGATCTTATAAGGCCTGTCTTCAGCATCAGCTTCGCGATCTGGAGTTCTGCTCCTTCCCCCGGGATTCACACTGTAATCCGAACCATTGGTGTGCCGGCGGTCCCTTGGGGATGGACTATGTCTCTCTTGGGGGCCTCTTTCACCCAGCGGTGGACTATGCTTTCCCCTTCGGGCGGGGGAGGGGCTTCTTTCATCGCGTGCTGGACTGTGCTTCCTCCCTCGGGTTGGGGATGGAGAACGCCTGTGGCGCTTGGGACTCCTTGATCTCCTATCCTCAAGCTCGAAGCTTCTTTCTCGTTTCACAGGTGAGCGAGATCTACTGTAAAAGGTTGAGAGATTCGACACAAAGAAAAAAGAGAATAAGCCTGACAACTTTCAAGACAAACAATTCCAGTATCTGAACTGGAAACTTGTCACAGGGAAAGCTAAACACAAACCTGTCACTACGTCCCCGGCTGTAACTGCGGCTTCTGCTTCGACCACGTCGGGGACTAGGTGAGCGTGAGTAACTACGAGGTCTACGGCTGCAACAATAAGAATAATAAAATTGTCTCCTAAATAAACAAAATATAAATTTTTAAATGATAGAAACGGCACTCCTATTCGGACCAAAAGGAAAAAACCTTAGTTTCTTCGGGCTGTTTTGACAATCTCTTTCTATGTGGCCTAGTTCCCCACATCGGTAACACTTGTTCTTCCAATCCCCGGCTTTGCAATCACGAGCCCAGTGACCATCAATTCCGCAATTGAAGCAGCTCCCGGATACAGGAGCAGGACCTCTTCCAGCATAATCACGAGATCCACCAGGGCCACGGGGCACCTACATCACAATTTTTTGGCACATCACCCAAAAATTAGAAGGGCTTAGGGAAATAAGTACTTAAAAGCATTAATCAAAGAATGGTTAGATTTCTCAATTGGTTACATATAGCATTCATTGCCTTGAAAATTTATGGCAGTGAAGTTATTATAAAACTTACTCCCTTGGCAAATTCCACAACGATACGGCATCCATCTAGGTCTCGACCATTCAATGAATATCTTGCATCATCAGCATCTCTAGGGTCACTGAATTCCTGTTATCAAGGAGCCAGACAAGAACACACACAAAACGAACAAAGCAAATATCCGAGGAAAAAGATCATATTTTCAATATATGGTGAAGAAATTATAGACAACAAAGAAAAAAATTTCGGCTTAAATTAAAAGAGAAATGAAATACATACAACGAATGCATAGTCTCGCTTCATATCCACATCACGTACTCTGCATAAATGGGTGCCAGAAACAGTAAGGCCATCATGACACAATTATCGAAGGGTTGATAGTTCACCCTCACAGATGAACGAAAAATACCCACTTTTGAGATTGTGGCCATTTCGATAAAAACACGCAATAACACTACAGAAAGACTCGCCAAATCCAGCAAGGTCACCCTCTCACCATAGACCTCCAGGTTAGGCAAAAGCCGAGGGACCTTCAACAAGATCATTCCAGTTAAACCAGACCAATACATGGAGGGTTGCAACATCTCTCTCATATTCTAATAGGAGGACCAGGGGTCACCGCATTTAAGGGCTTTGGAAATGACTACTTTCTCCTACATTGTCACTACACGCTGAAACTATCCTAAAGGCCTTCAATACAAAGAATAGAACAACCATGGACACCCAAATGAAGAAAAACAAAACAAAACACTTAAACAAGTACACTAAATGAAATGCAGTCTACCTAATAAGATAAATTTACAAACTCTTCAACATAGCAAAAAGTTTTGGTTACCTCCCATATCTGCTAAACATGTCCTCCAGATCACGTGATCTTGTCCTTGAGGACAAGTGACCAACATAAAGGCGACTGCCACCACGGCGGTCATCATACCTTGGCATATTGTCCTGCCCTGCATTATCAATTGTCATTAGAACCTCAGGGAAAAAAAAGAAAGCAATTTTTTTTTACATAATTAAGATACTCCAATCATTATTAACAGCATCAACAAACAATTTCAAGCACACGTCACCTTAAAAATCTTGCTTTCGCTTACATCGTAGAACAGAAATGTGAATCAATTTTCAATTTAAACAGACAATTAAAATGTAAAAAAACTATAACAGAAACCTTTCATATAAATAAAATCACAAATAGGTTACCCCAAAATATACCATTTTTAATTTTTAATTCTATGCAAGTATCTCCTTAATATCCAATTGCACAAACAAAAAACAATTATTAAGAGAAACAATCAAACAGATTCATAGTTTGTTCTATCATTCGCTCTAAGACTGAAAGAGCAGTCTTTAGCTTAATATCTCTTATTTTCTCCTTGTATTACAATGCCGTCTGATTATACAACTTTGCTTCATTTTTTGGCTAAATCATTTGCTTGTATTGCTGTTACATAACTTTAGTTTTGTTATGCTAAACGATATATTAGCTCCCCTTCATAACTGTTACAGAAGGATGGTTAACTAGCCTCTAAGGTAACAATTAGAACAACCAGTTCAAAAATGTTTGAATTTCTTATTCTATATAGATTCTGGCATTCAATTTAGCACATATTAAACAAACAAGGAAAAAACAATAAATTTGTCTGATTTTTTTTTAAATTTTAATTGTGTTTTTTTAATCCAATTACACACAAATTCAAGTATGGAAAGAAACAATCAGACGATATCTAAACAGACCCCTAGTTCATATTATCTTTTATTATACATATCATAAATAAAAAGGGAGAAAACTAAATATAAGCTTCAAAACAAACAAATTTGAGGGATTTAATTTTCAGCTCTCAATTCCAACAGGCTAAAGCATCAAATCCATACATCTTTAAATTACCATTACAAATCAAAAGAAATAAATGTATGTATCTCTGTGTTTGTAAAAAGCGGAAATTTGAAATTTTGAAAAACTACAAGCTCAACAATATTTTAGATCTATGAAAAATATCAAGACTTTAGAGACGCAAGAACATGAGAATTCAAAACTAAATGAAAACTAAAACAACGACAGAATAAAAGAGATACAATTTACGCACACAAAAGGAGGCTTACGATTGGATTTCAGAGGCGAGAGGCGAGGAAGGGGATGCTGAAAACACATAGATTTTTTGAAGAGAACATTTTAACTAAACGCGGCGTTTTCTTTTCGATATTTATAGGGGGCTTAAGCCCTAAGGATGAGGATCTTTCAACACTGAAAAAATCAGAGAAAGCGTAATTACTAAAAAGGCACCATGTGGAATGACAATAGTAGACTTGAGAAAAAACAAAACAAAAAATAGCGTATCTTGAACGTTATTTGAATCTTTAATTTTGTGTAAATCGCACAGATATCCCAAACTATTGTTCAGATTCCATCATAGTCTCTGAACTTCAAAAACGTTCTAATTAAGTCCCAAAATATCAATATCGTTGAAGCATGTTTAAAATATGAAAATCAATTTTTAAACATTGTACACTAATTGCATAGAAATCTCAATTTAAATTCATGTTCCGACAACAGAGTACTTCAGTTTTGTCACTTGTAGGATTAGATCTAGATAGGTTCTTATTCATATTTCAAGTCAATGAAGTCAAGCATACAAAACTACAGATAAAGCGATAACACAGTCGGAACCCGACCATTCAACAAATAGAATCCGAAGTAGTTCACAACGGTAATTGAGAAAAGGGCTTCGATGAAGTAGTTCTTAATAACAATTCAAATTAGAGAACATCCAAAGTCTTGTTTAGGAAATCAAAAATCATTCTCGGAGAAATTAACCGCAAGGTCCCAGTAATGGCCGACACCAGCATTAGAAAATACCTTTCTTGCAGCTGCTTCGGTGATGCACTCGTGAACCAAGAACCTGTTGAAACTTGATTTAGCAACGCTGCCTTGCCAAACTCACACACACTTGTTAGGGGGTTTCTCTTTGTCGTCATCTTCATCTCCATCATCGGTTTCGTTTATGGCTTCAGCCCAATTGATTCGTCGAAGCATAAGCTTCCCATACCTCTTAATGGATTTGCTTCAGCCTTCAACAACTACAACACTAATGCCCTCGGAAATCACGGCACAACCAGTCAAAGGGGTTTTCTTGGGCATTAACATGATAACATCTACTTTGAAGCGGGTCTTGGGATGTGAGAGGTCATTGATCCAGTAAACTGAAACGATTGTTTCCACCGTATTTGGGTCGTCAAAAAGCTTTCTCTCTTTCTTTTATCGGCGTTCAGCAGGGGTAAGCTTGCAAGCAATGTTTCTGTCGACGTGAGCCTGTTCTCGCTCAGCAGCAGCACTTCGGATTTCCATTTCGAGTTTAGTGGGATCTTGGGTTGCTTCAGAGCCTAAAACTTTATTAAGTTGCTCAACTTTTGGTTTGGGAGGTTCTATCAGGCCTTGTCTAATCATCTCCTGCTTATCCTTTCCCCGGGCAAGACGTCGCTGAGTCCAAAGCTTCTTCTGCTCCTCCTTGGTTAGCTTCAGGGGCTGAGACGGTGGTGGAGCTGGCTCAGCAGGAGGCTCAATCGGACGAGGATGTTCAACATAAATCGTGATCTTCTTCTCCTTCAGTTTATCCTCGCTCAGCACACCATCAGTGGTGTCATCATAGGAACCATAGACAAGAAGAGGCAAATCCCTGAAATATAACAAAAGCAATGAGAAAACAGGGAATGTAAAAGGATGAAATAACCTAGTGTTTGTAACCCATGTTGCTCCAAATCTAAATATTTTTTAAAAAAACCCGAGTCCAACAAAAACTCGGACATAGCTATGCTAATTTTGTCCAAGGACCCCCTAAATAAATGGAAAAAAATTTAAGCATACATGTACCAGACACTTGTACCCGAATCCAAGTCGCATAGATTGTAATGCTTCATTTAAATTTTTAAACAAGGAAATGACATGTGATGCTGAACATATATGCAAACTTTTTTGGCTTTACACATGTTGAAGAGCATTGCATGCCTTATTTTGAATATTAATAAAAAATCAGGAAGACGAGTTTTGATCTTTTTCTTAATAAACATTATTGAATCAACCAAAGCCTCCCAGTTAATTTAATTAATTAAAGGTATGTAAACTTAATGTTATACAACAATGAAAGGAACATCAACTTACCACCACTCTATTTCAGGAATCGGGTCTTTTGGTTTCTCTTTCATTAGAATTCTTTATGACACCTCAATTAAATTGGGATTTATATCAGCCCTTGCTTTTGCCAATTGTGCTTGCTTTGCTTTAAGCTCTTTCGCTTTTGCTTCTCCAAATTGACTCTGTAACAAATAGACAATAATCACAAAACCAGACAAACAAGTAATGGAAGAATCAAAAAAATAAAAACACAATAATACCTTCAATTTGATAATCTCTGCATCTTTTTACCATTTTCCTTCCTCTACAAACTGAAAACTCATCCTTTTTGGTCTAAGAAGCTTATTCTTATTGATTCCCATCCGCTCATCAAAATGTGGATTTGATTCCGGATCCACCTCTAGCTCAGGTTTAAGGATCTGGAATGCATCTTTCTTTTGCTTGTTAATGTTGACCTGAAAAATTAAATGGTTTAAGTTAAATAATAGCCTTGAAAATAACACAAACAGCACTGAAATAATAAAGTAGCAATGATTGCACCAAGAGTACAAATTTCACAAACCTTGAGGGTGCTAAGATTACTTGGTTTAGTCACATTTATGATATTACCATGTTCTGAGCAACTGGAACATCTACTTGCACCTGTCCAGGACACATGTTTATTAGAGAAGCAAACTTAATTATGTTAAGTAAAGTATGGGGTCTTCAATTCACTTTTGAGTTTAATTTTCTGAAGGTATCCTCGCATCACCAGAGCGCTCTCCAGTTAACCCTAATCAGTCTTGTCCTCCTTAATTCGATTTCGGTCACTCATCCTGATATACGCGTAAATATTAGATTAGTATTTTATGGTATATTTTATTTAGTGGTTGGCATCCGTATTTACCGTGGGAAGCATAAGGCTTAGCTGGCATCAATTATCTTCTTTAGGTGTGTCTTATTTACCTAATTGATATCAGATATGTTAGATTGCTATGTTAATACTTCAGCTTAAAGTGTGTTTGTAATTTGGTTGCACTTACCTGTATCATTCATATTTCCGAATAATGTTGCACCACTTTTTATCTTCTTATTGATGTATTTCTGTTCTGCATGGGATTGGTTTCCCGTTCTGACATTTGCATGGGATTAGTTCTCAGTTCTGACATCTGCATGGGATTAGTTCTATGTTCTAACATCTACATGGGATTATATCTCCGTTCTGTTTATCTATAGCTAAAGCTAAAGTAGGGTGTCATTGGTGCTGGTTTAAGTTCATTAAATTCGGATTTAATGTTATGCTTTAATAGTATTGTTTTGCACATACTTTGATATCTACTTTACTTTAGAGGGCATATTGGGCTTTGTAGCTCATTTTCTAATTTGTCTTTTCAGATTACTTAGACTTTTAGGATTTATGATTGGTAGTTGAATGATCGTTTATTGTCATTTTCTTCCAGACATCGTATGGACGATTTTTTCCGGACTTTTTATTATTGTTGATTATATATATATATTGTGTATTTCCTTTTTATGGGAATTGGGATAAGGATTTTCTTATTGTTTTTGAATTTAGAACTCGTGGTATGTTTTTAAGTATTGAGAACTCTCGAATTCTTTTGACGATTTAACGACGATGCATAGCAAAATATGAGTTCTTGATTTCTATTCAATCTAATGGTGTGGTAGTCTCCGAGATTCGGCCATGACGTCCAGGTCGGGTCTAGGGGTTTACAACCATTCAGTCCCTAAATTTGGCAACCTTTCCTAACTTTGTCCATAAATTTCTTTTCATCCACAATGGTCCTATAGCTTGTTGAATCTTACAAATTAATCCCTAAATTTATATTCTTTTTTTCATTTTGATGATATAATTCTCGAAAATTGTCCCATATCATTATCTAATAATTTTTCTTTTCGAATGATGACATGATACAATCTCATAGCGACACACATCGAATCGCTGAAAATCCAATTTAGAGACGAAATTAGAAATTTTCCAAATTCTAGTGTTAGTCCAAACATGTTCAAAGATTCAATATCCATTCGGTTTTCCAAAACACACAACACTGCTAAGAGTAGATTTCTCCTTTCGGAATCAAACTAAACCGAAATGTTACCACAAGAAGAAATTTGCAACGAAAGCAATACAAACTTGTATTGTAGTAATAATTCAGTTCAATATTCATAAATATATTTCAAGGCCATGGATTCAATACATATTGACACTATTCAGGGGTTAAAAACATATGACCGGTTCGAGTCCGACAGAATGGGCTAATTTATGACAATGCTGGTCAAACAAAATCCGTAGATGAGAGATGATGCAGTGTTTACCAGTATCAACTCCAGGAAATCTAGAATCGTATTCTAGCTCTGATATTTTATGCACGTGAAACGGCATCATTGATGAAGTATCGCCTTTTAGTAGCTTGAACATAGGCTTGTGGACTGAAACTCATGCCTTCAGCCATCAAATAACTAAAATATGGACTCAACAAATTCGAAGGACATGTAATAAAAAGATCCGGACCATTCATTAGAATTTCTTTTGCCTTGCAAAGCGTGGCCATGAACGTGGGGTGTACGTAGTGCATATGCCGAAAGTTATTCTCCTTATTTAAACTTATCTTCCGCATATGACGTATTGGGCCTCATTTCTGACATTCATCTTCCATTTTTCCTTTTCCGAAGCTATAGATTTCGGTCTTAGAGAGCATAAATCCTATCGACTTCGACTTCCGAATTAGTGAAGTCGGAATGAAGCATAGAGTTGGATCCACTTCTCCTTGAACTCTTTCCCCTCTTCCTTCTAGTCCTCTTCGATTTCACCACATAATAAGTCATGGTGCCGAGAACTCCGGCCATTATCAGACCCCCAACAACGGTAACCAAAATTGCAGCCCACTTATGTTTCCTGCCCACCACTATATACGAGGAGGCCATAAAAGCAACTGAAGTGCAGACCGAAGCCAACCACATCAACTTGTTAATCACTTCCACCACCTGTTTCTCGGCTTTGGTTTCACCTCGGACCAAAGTAATTTGAACAACGACGA